GAAACTATTAGTGGAAAACCCGGATCAGAGATACCCGGATGTTTGCAAAAGTTATGATTTCTTTGTGACAAACCTTTACCTGCTAAACAATTAGGTAAGTACTATCCAGGATTTGTTTCCTGTTTAGTTTTTTCTCAATCAAATCCTGAATTCTGATGTTTATTTTATTTGTCTGCTATTCAAGTTATCGACACAAGCTGATGTCGAGGATAGTAAATGGCTTGGATGCATACACCATTTATGTAGAGAGACTTTTTGATTTTTTAATATGGATTTCGTAAGATTTTTTCTCTTTTGCTACAATCCATGAAGCCCTCACAAAGTATAGACAAATCATTTTTCTCCGTTAAAAACCTGTGTTTTGTCTCTGCAGGAACGGCATGAAACTAAACTTTCTCGCGATTAAAACGGCTCCCCCAACTAAGTAGTCAAGTACAATACATAACGTATGCATTTTCCAAAAAATCCACACTTTACAGACTTTATACAAATCAAAAATCGCAATAAAACGGCATTTTTTTTTTTAAATAAAAAGGCATTGGCCTCCATTTTGAATTTCATTTTGACAGGTCGTTGGATTGCCCTATAGGGCATGTCCATGTGACGTCACAAATGAGTTTGACAGTCGCCCTGAGGTAAAACAAATCATTTATTTACATTCGTTTAGATTAGGCCGGTTATGTTTTATGCGGTTTTCACAGCTTTTTCACAAGTTTTGGTGTTATTTTGTTTTAAAAAAGTTAGAGCGGAGTGTTTGTGTGCAGTCTATGTGGCCTTTCATCTAAAAGTTTGCTAGGTTTTTCTATAATGGATTAAATTCAGGTTTTTTCCAACAAATATCAAAACCAAGTGGCACAAGAACAAATATATAAGTATAGTTACTCTATATTCAATCTATTTTTCTGTCAGATCTTTTCTTTTAACAACATAAATCAATTTTTCTCTTCTTTCTTGAGCTAACAAATCAAACCTCCCATTGTTATTTAAAATTGATGGAAACCTATGGAAGGATATTGTATCCCTTGCCCTATACTGCCACAATTAACAACTAAACAAACTCTAGGCACAGCTAAGAAACTTCTGGAGCACAGAGAAGGTATTTATTTAAAAAAATCTATCTAAAAACTTAAAAAACCCTGTAAATATCTTTGTTTTACCTCAAGGCGATTGTCAATAGTGTCAAACTGTCAGATCGTGTACTTGCCCAAATGGATTCCCTAATTAGGCAATTGACGTTTTCAATTAAAAGAGATAGACGATAAGTATGAAAACATTCGTTTTCCCGCCAACATTTGCTTGCTTGTCAATGTCAATATGTTTAGCAATTCCCTCGTTTTTATTCGAATTGGTGACTTCACCAATGAGTTAGTTACCTTTGTTAAGTGAATGGAAAATGACAATGACCGACATAGAATGGTGGATCCATCGGTAACATTTGCGCAGGGTTTGAAATTGAGAAGAAAATGTGGGAAAAGTCACTGCTTTATTCGCAGAACTTCGCTATGAAGACGGTAATGAATTATTGTGGAAGCAAACAGGTTCCGCAAACTAAACTTGAACGTGGATTACTTTGTATTCTTGATGGGACGTGGATTTCCCTTTCTTTTGCAAGTATCCTTTCTGATTTTGTGTATCCAAATTTTGACAAATGTAGAATTTGATGGAAACTTATGGAAAGACGCATCCGCCAGTGAATAAGAATTATTTTTATGAAAAGGCACACTACACAGAATCACCATTGTTAGGAAAAAAACCTTGAAAAAACCGAGGAAATAATAGTGTTTTTCAAAAGTATTGTCTACAAACCACTGTCAACGGCTGTCAACCATTGTTTTCATACTCTTTGGCATCTGACAGTTTGATGCCAGAGAGAGAGGCTTTTAAATTGAAAAGGTCAATTCAATCCATCTGTCAAAACGGAAAATTCTATGTGGTGTGGCGGCCAAGCAAGTTTGTTTTGAATATGTTTTTATGCGTATTTTAAATTATTTTGCATACAGTTTTGCTTACAACTTTGATTCTCATTATTTAATAAAATATTTGTTGACTAGGTACCTAAACTATTAATTCGGGCAGAAACTAGATATTTTTTTGTGTTTTTTGGCCCATGTGTGGCCGCCACGCCATCTTGAATGTCACGTGGTTTGAATTGCCTAATATAGGGAATCCAAACCACGTGACTTTTGCCAACCAGCCGGCATTTTGAAATTTTTATGAGGTTAGAATACGGGTTGTTACATGTCAACGATGTCAGAAAAGTGTCAGATTGATAAAGCCTAGTACTCAGCCTAGTAACCGCGAAATTCACCCTTTTTTGACATTGCTTGGATAATTTGACGTTTGATTCATGCATAAAACGTCAAATTGTCGAAGCAATCTCAAAAAAGAGCGAATTTCGCTGTTATGAGTACTAGGCTTAATCCTGCCAAAAGAAAAACATATGTTTTTTGTTTATTGTTTGCCAACCAGACGCCATTTGGACAGGTCGTTGGATTGCCTAATTACATAAGACACATAATGTCTGCCCAGCGACTCTGTGTCTACGGGGTAACGGTGAGGGGAATGCAGTTGTAAAAAAAAATGGCTGATTTCATTCATAAAATGGTTCCATCATACTATACGGAAACACTAAAACTTACAAGTTCGATATACTTTCTCCATAAAACCGTTCAGTTCCTCTTTAAAATGTTCAATTAGATGCGGAAAACATTAAATATTCTTATGAATAAATAAATTTACTGAAATTCATACAGGAAAATATTTGTCATTTAATTTACTAAGATTATTGATTTTATGTTTTTTTTTTAAGTTGAAAAAGTTTCTAAAATCAGATCATCTTTTTCTTTATGAGGCCCAGAAAAAAATTACTTTACTATTGATTCATCTTTTATTTATGTGTCATTATCGAAAAACAGAGCGATAGTGATATTAAACTGATAAGAATTGATATTATTCATTGATCTGTGTCAAAGGTTGAGAAGAGGATGGTCTGTTATAATTTTTGTTCTATTTAGGCGGAGGGAATCATTTGGTACAGATTGATGAATCGGTAATTTCTGAAAGAAAATTTAACACTGAAAAAACGGACAATATTCAATATGTCAAAAATCGATCCGCTGCGATTCTTTTACCGATTATAACAAAACATGTAAGGGTCGATAGTGAAATATGGACAGGCAATTGACGCGCTTATTCTGGATTAGTAGACTATGGTTACGTCCAACGAACAGTACAGTAAACCATACCAAATATTTCAAAGATCCCATTACAGAGGTCTGTACCAACCAGGTGGAAGGGTATTGATCTGGCTTGGAAAAATATCTCAGAGCTATGGGTGTTATGCATTCAAAATATTTGCCACAATATATATATGACAAAAATGCCATCCAATGAATGTATAACTTAACATTGCAAATTGGACAAAAATATTAAATGGTTTTTTTATAGGATTATTAAGTTGATTAATTACATATTTTGTTCCCTAAGGAAGTTTGCTTTGTTTAGTTTTAGTGGTTCTTAATTTAACTTTTCCTTTTTTATATTATAATGTATAGATACAAATGGTTAATGCAACTTATTAGTAAGAAATATAAATAAAACCTCTAAGAAACTATGACTATGGTTTTTTTTATGTTTATTATTATTTAAGCTCAGGAGATATCACACAATGTGGCAACGTTGATTGCACCTTGCATTTTTATTTCGTTTAATGTCGTATTCGATTTATGAAATGGTCAATTTCCGTCAGTTTGAACTGAATTTTCTTGCAGAAAAATGAAAAAACCCGCATTTTTTTTTTCATAAAACTATTATTTGAGTTGTCTATTTTAATGTAAAAGCTTTAAAAATGTCAAATTCGTGTTTCCGGATAGTGTGATGGACCCACCACGTTAAAATATTTAGCGTTTTATTATTGTTATCAATATTTTGTTATTAAAAAATGGATTTTCAAATGAACTATATTCATGCCTAGTATTTTTGCTTTTTTATAATTAAACGTGGCAACATGGCACATTTACGTCCGAATTCTTCCGTAGACAGATCCCCAGAGGGGCGCGTTCAGATTGAAGAGTCCGGACGACGTCCAGTGAAGAGCGCACCCGATAGAGAGTGCACTCCGAGTGTGCCCGGCGATTCGCCCAATCTGAACGGCCAAGACGCATTCTTTCTTTATAACCTCAATGATTCTAACATTTTTGCCGTTTTCTTCATAATTTTTTAAATAAATACTAACTATGGAAGAAGCCAGAGTATCTTCATATTTAAAGAGTTATTGAATGATGAGGACGCTTCATCTTCGGACGACGAGGATGTGCTAGTGTCAGTGATTGCTATCAATTGAGCATCACAAACTAAACAAAAAAAAATAAAGAAGCCACCTTTTTTTTAAATAGAGTTGATGAGGATAACGAAGAATTTAGATAAACCCACCATAACTCGCAAAAATAATTATTTACAATATTTGCCTTTATTATTTAAGGTTAGAACACAAACGCGCATGCGGGGCAAATTTTATCTTGCTATTTTATGGGATGCAAAAGTGTGCGCCCGGGCGTCGTCCGGTAAAAATCTACTGACCGTGCGTTCGTTATTTTGGTCCGAGTTCTCCGAGCTTGACTTTACCGTTCTTTATTTGAAAAGTGTACTCGGTGCAGCCGCATTCGCGTTCGTTTATTAAAATTTCTGACACTTTTATACAGCGTTCAACTGCACTGTTCGCTCGCTGGTCACGTGATTACGGCTCCGCTCAGCACGCTCTGCTTTTTGAGCAAAATACCGAACGCAAGGTGACAATCTGAACGGCTGGGTAAATTTTACCCAAAGCAATCTGAACGGTCGGAACGCGCTCGGGCGACACCCGACGTTCAATCTGAACGCAGCCCTGGGCAAACAATACATAACCACAATTTTTACATTTTAGTCCTTTGATTTTTTGGTTTCTTGAATCAACATACATAAATAAATATTCAATATTGTATAAATATAATCAACCTTTCCGTATGAAAATGACTAAAATGTTTGGAAATATACGGAATATTGTCAAATATTCAATTCGCATTTACAGTAACAATGTTCAGCCCATTACAACTACCAAAAAACCTTGGAAAGTGCTATTTTTTGGCAGTGATGAGTTCTCTTTATATAGTTTAAAAGCTGTTTTAAATCAATAGTAAGAAAATTCTCTATAAACTGAATTATAAACGTAGACAAATTATTTTCTAGCAAAAATAGTTCAGGTATGTTCAGTCGACTAGAAGTTGTAACATGCTCCCAGCTAAATCCCATTTGGAAATTTTCAAAAGAACATAAACTACCATGTCAGAAATGGCCCCCTGATTTGGCAGGATGTGAATACGATTTGGGTTTAGTGGTCTCTTTTGGGCATTTAATTCCAAAGCAGATAATCAGTAAATTTCCATTGTAAGTAGGTATTGACCCCTTTATCACTTAGGTTTCTTGATATTTTCTACAAGAGGATTTTAGAGGTATGCTCAACGTCCATGGTAGTCTATTACCCAGATGGAGAGGAGCCTCCCCAATTGTTTACGCCTTAGCTAATGGCGATAAGGAAACTGGTGTCACAATAATGAGAATTAGACCGAACAAATTTGATGTAGGGGAAATTCTTTATCAAGAAAAAATTGCCATTTCCCATGATATTGAAATGCCGGAGTTACATGAACAATTAGGCAAATTAGGAGCTAAATGTTTGATAGATACTTTATGGAATATTGATGAGAGATTGGCAAATAGTGTACCTCAGCCTTCTGAAGGAGTTACTTATGGTAGGAGAGTCAAATATTTTATTTAAAAAGCCTTAAACAATTATAAAAGTGACATGTTTATGTAAGACAACAAATAGGAATTTTACGCTAACCATGTCTTTTGCAAGTGATTCTGTTTTTGATTTGTCTTTCTTGCGATAAAAAAAGACAATAATATCATAACCATAAGTTGATAAAGAGGTTTGAAGTTCTTTATAGTAGCTGGCATCATTTTTTTAAGCAGAATCTGGTGACATTCTCATTTTTCATTTATGTATTTTTTTTTTTTTTTTTAGCTCCTAAAATTTCACCAGATTTTGCCAAAGTAAAATGGAACACTTCAACAGCAAAGGACTTATACAACTTGCAAAGAGCTCTCAAATCCATCCATCCTCTAAAAACATCCTGGAATTCAATTCCAGTCAAGTTATTTGATGCTGAAATTTGGCCTAAAGATGAAGAACATCGAAATCCTGGATTTGTTGTTTATAGTAAAAAAAATAAATTATTACTAATAGAATGTGCGAATAGAACATGGATAAGTGTAAAAAAAGTGGGCGTTCAGGGTAAAAAAATAATGAACGCAGCAGACTTTCATAATGGTTTTATATCAAAAGTTCCTGAAAATACAATAACATGTTTTGTGTAAAATTGCATTTATTGACCAACCCCTGATAATGCAGTTTAGGCCTGACTAGCAGCCATCAATGATGCAAGATCCACTGCTTTTCAAAAGGATTGATGGCTTTTTGCACCGACCATTTTAAAGAAGCCTTAGCGATAAGTATTCTCTAAAGTGACATTTTAAGGAATGCACTCCCCTAAAAGGGTTTGAGATGTTTATGCAGTATTTAAATCGTTTTCAAATCAGTTGTATACAAGCGTTTTATAGTAAAACGTTTTCTGTAAAAAAACGCATGCATAGCTTAATCCTGAAAAGTGTCAAACCTTAACATACCACTGCATTAGATTTACCATAAATCCATTTTACCTACGAGTGTGCGGAAAGTGCACTTTAGCGCACTTATTTGCTAGTGGAAAAAGAAAACGTAGTTTTTTCCATTCCCATATCATATTCATAAATGTAGGTTTACCTGTTTTTTTTTTTTTTAAAAAGTCTCTAGAATGTATATGTAGACAAATTAACTGATCAGAAATATTTTCACCTTGTGCAAGAGTTAGCGACTCTTGTTGCGCAAACTACTTTCCGAAAACTCAAAAAATAATCAAGATGGCAACGTGGGCATAACAAAAGTGACCTCCATAGAAATTTATTTCTCTATGTTGTCGGTTAAAACTGAGTTTTGTATTATTTCAACAAATTTACCTACCTTAATACACAGGGCAGGTACAAAACCGACCCGAAGTAGGTAGAAAGGCCTAAATATAAGTACTTAGATGGAGATGATTTTATTCACTTCCTCTATCACCTGTTCGTGTGTTTTATTTAGGACGTTAACAGTGTTAACAGCTTGAAACATTAGTGCACAAATATTTTTTGATTTTTATTAAAATGCAGAGTGCTTATCTACAGAAGTTATTGCTGGAGTCTCCTGATGTTGCACAGAGGTACGTTTTTTATTAAAATTCGATCTTTCTACTAATAGTACTAATCCTACTCTTGAAAGATCATGATAATTGTAAAGTGTTTTTCTTTCATATTTAAGCTAAAAGTAGCCACCTTTTTCCACAGAAAACTAGTCACTATGCTGTGGTGACCTATTTTTCGAAAATTTACTTACGTTTTTCTCGGTTTTTTTGATTTCATAAATATGTATATTATAGCTTCGTAGGTATACTACCGTATACTCATCGTTGGTGGGTAATACAAAAATAAATTTATTCCGTATCAAGAATGTAAGAATACATAGGTACCTATACTAGTTCACAAAGGATGTGCAATAATTAATAAATGTTCAGTTTTTCTACTATAACTATTTTAAAATAATAACGTATTTTTGTATTTTTTAGATACCAAATTAAGATAAAAATAATTAATGACATTGACCCATACACATTGAAGCCTAATGACTTGGACTATACAATAAATGCAGTTCCACCAATTACCAATATGGATATTGCTTGCTATCTATTCTTAACCCACAGCTTTTATACACAAGAACAGATGAAAGCATTCAAAAGCCTTCAAGCGTACAAATATTTCGAGTCCGGGTTCGTCTTAAAAATTGGAGCAAAAATTACACACAACTGCTACGTGCTAGTTGGAAAGGTAATTTTTTACGTTTCTTAACAATCAATACAATTAAATGATTGCTATAAGGAACCGTTTGTTTGTATCAAAAATTAGCGATTTCTAACACATGAGTGGAATAATCACCGTTATAATTCTTGAGTATATTTATTCCCAAGATGGATTTTGACATGCATGGAAAACTTTGAAACATAAACAATACCTCTTGGCCCTGACTGGTCGCAAAATGCGGTGTCCCTGCATATTGGAATCAGTTTCACAAAATGTATGTCGTGCAAATGGCATCTTGCAACCAATAAGCGGCATTGTTCATGTTTCAATGTCAAAATCTATCTTGGGTAAAAATACAGTTTAGTTTTGGGGCTATTTTTTTTTTTTAATTCCAGATCAAACATTCCGAAGCCGAAGCCAAGCTGCTTGATGTTTGGAGTATTGTTTCAAGGGATGGGTCTATATCTACAGCTCATTGCACCTGCATGGCTGGTAACAGTGAGGTTTGTAATCACATTGCAGCAATGCTTTTTGCTGCTGAATATGCCTATAGAAAAAGGAATTCAATCTCATGTACTGACTTAACGGCTCCGTGGCCTATGCCCTCTTTATCGACCACTGTGCCAATAGTGCCGTTAAGCGAGATGGACTTTGGAAAACCATCATCATCTACAAGTCAAGTTGTATCCATTAAAAATAATGCCATAGAGATGTTGGATAAAATGAAGAGCCTAGGGAAAACGGCAAGCCTTATGAGAGTGGTAGAGCCTTTTGCCAGTGAGATCCATGATCCATTCTATTAGTGGTAAAATAGAGTTGCCCATTTATCCAAAGTGGCCACACCTTGGAGCGTCACCAGATGTTATGGTGTAAATGTTTCAAAAAAGGTTGTCTGGAAATTAAGTTCCCTCTACTTGTACTATATTATATAAAAGATGTTAAAGATATCAGTGAATACTTGAAACTAAAGACATCATGTTTAATGTGGGAAGATGAAGAAATCAGGCTTAAAAAGATCATGCATATTATTATCAGATACAGATGCAGATTTTTCTTCTTCATAATTTGGTCACCTACTGTAAAACGTGAATACTTTGTGACAAGCAGGAAACTTTGTGACATTGTGAAATTCAATTCAAATTAGCCAAACATTTCAAATTCCACGCGCAAAGCCAAATTTTTCTACCGGCTGGTGGAAGCACATACCTCACTCGCTACAAAAACCACTCGGCAAGCTGGTACGCGAGCATCTCGTTTTTGCAACTTTTTCGAAACGCCCAAACTTTTTACTGCACATCAGAATTTGAACACTCCTCAGAAAAATTCGTCAGAATTTCTAATTGATGGGTACTTGTCAAGATATATCTACGTGTCGTGAATACGCTTACGATTTATTAATTTGACACATATTTTTTTAAACAATAAACGAAACAGAGTAATCTACCGGGGCAACTTTGTGACATATAATTAGTATGGAAGAAACTTATGCTCAACCTAAAACAACGCTAAAAGGATCGACATGTCTCCTAATGTGGGCGACTTTCTATTGGTAGAATTTACATCCCAATTTTTGGCTGAATATGAGGGTAATAAATATTATATCGTATGATATGCAATAAAAGTTTAAAATTTCTAAAACAGTATATACTTACCTGTGTTTTTAATAAATCAGAAAATTATCAATAGTAATATAACTAGTGCAATGGAAATTATTAATAATTTTTGGGAAATTTGCCCGAATGCATTTTTAGTTGAAAAAGAGCACGAGTGCACGTAGTGCACGAGTGCCTTTTTCAACGCATGAGTGCAAATTTGTCGAAAATTATAAATATATTTCCATTGCACGAGTTGTATTTAATGAGAGAATTTCATAAATCAAAAATTTAATTTTTATGTCAAAAAATGTCAAAACACCAGTTCTCGCACCAGTTACTATGCAATTATCTGATAATTTGCACTACACTTTATTTTTTCCCAAGATAGATTTTGACATTGAAAACTTTGAAACATAAACAATAACGCTTGACCCTGATTGGTCGCAAAATGAGGTGTTTCTGCAGGTTGACATCAGTTTTACAATAGCGACCAATAAGCGGCATTAGCGGCATTGTTTATGTTTCAAAGTTGACAATGCCAAAATCTATTCTTGTAATTTTTTTTTGTATTTTAAGTTTGATACATAATATCTTCATTTTGTTGAAGTTGTATAAATATGTACTTTACTTATACAAAGTTGTATGTAAAGCCTATACGAAGTCACTTGGACTAGTATAAAAACTAAATCCTCATAAGTCGGGTCACCCCACAAAGCGGAATGAACAAAAACAGTATGTCGGTCAATCAAAAATCGGCGATGGCCAATCAGATCTATCCATCCCTACTTGTCTAGCTTCCAACGATAACGAGAAGCAATCAGTATAAATTTTGCTATATTTTTCAATATTTGATGCAGTATATTGACCAGACCACTATTTTAGGCCTGGTCTAAGTAACTTCTTACTTATAGACTTTACAGTGTCTTCATTTTATCTAGACAACATTTTAAACTGTCATAATTTATTCACCTAGACCTAGAGATGTATGTTAACGAACCTACTAGAATAACTGTTCATTCTCAAACCAAAATCGATTATCTGTGCTCAAATTTTGTCTTAAAGCAAATGTTTGTTAGCTGTAGTGTAATTCCTGTAGGCATTTCGGATCACGAGGCAGTTTTAGCAAAATTTCAACTTGCGATAAATAAACCACCAAAATATAAAGTTGGTAGACTACTTAGCAGCAACAATTATAAAAAATTTAAAGATATTTGCAAGGAATTAAATTGGCCAGCAGTTTTGAATTGTCAATCACCACTAAACGAATACCAAAAATTAGTAACTGATGCATTTTTGAAATCTTTTCCATTACAAAAAATTGAGCAAAAGAAAAGTAAACTTTGGATTACTCCCGCTATTAAAGTTTCATCAAAAAACATGCGTTCGTTACAAAATATTCGCAAATTTACTGATTGTCCTCAGTTCATAAGTTATTTCTGCAGATATAGAAAAATTTACAAAAGTGTTTTAAAAGCAGCTAAGGAAAAGTTTTATCAGAATAGAATTAACTCCTCCAAAAATGCCAGCAAAGAAAACTGGAAAATAATTAATCAGTTAACTGGTAAAAACTCAGTTCTTCAAACATATGTTAAATTAGATCCCAATATTCTCAACAACTTCTACTGTAGTGTTGCTGATACTTTACAACAAAACTTGAAAAGTAATGTGGATCCTGGTTCTTATTTATTGGATGTTAAAATAAGTGACACATTTGTACTGGAAACTACAAACGTATTAGAACTTAATGAAATCTTTAGAGGAATAAAAAACAATAAATCCATTGGGCACGATAATGTTTCAATAAATTTGCTTAGAAACTTGCCTGATAATGCATTATATGTCTTGTCTGAATGTATTAATATTTCATTTTTAACAGGAGTATTTCCAGACTGCCTGAAAAAAGCTATTGTGTTGCCTCTTTATAAGGGTGGCGAATTGGACAACCCATGTAATTATCGACCAATATCACTTCTCTCGACGTTGTCAAAAATAGTTGAAAAGTTAGTTAAAGAAAGAATGTTAAAATATTTTTCAAAACACAACATAATAAGTGACACTCAATTTGGATTCCAACCATTAAAGGGCACCCATGATGCAATGTTTAATCTTTTGGGACAGGTATTCGTCAGTCTTAATGAAAGTGAGCTTGTCGCCGTTGTGTTTTGTGATTTCTCTAAAGCCTTTGATTGCGTAAATCATAAAATAATGCTTAAAAAACTAGAAATTTATGGCTTCGGAGGAATCTCATACTCATGGTTTGAATCTTATTTCTCGGGAAGAGAACAATTTGTTAAGATTGGTGATACTCAGTCATCAAACTTGGCTGTGACCAATGGTGTTCCACAAGGATCTGTGTTGGGACCAATATTGTTTTTACTTTATTTAAATGATATTATTCACCTCCCCAGTAGAGTGCTTTCACAGCTATCAGACCACATACCCACCTCTACCACGTAAAACCCCCCTCCAGCACAGCCATCATACCACTACCCACCACTGTAAACCCCCTTCCCTGAAGCTCCTACCCTAAAATCCCCCCCACTATGAGCCCCACCAAATATCTTTCAAATATGTCTACAAACAGATAGGAAATGGGATAGGGGAATAAAAAGAATCTGTTATGGAGGCCTACTGCAATTTTGCATTTTAAATCAACGTAATTAAAACCATCGTGAGATAAACAGATCCATAATTTACAAACTTGTATTGCGAACGCTATAATTGACCAGATAATGAATTAACCTTGTGAATATCTTTACCCATAATAAAAATCAATGAACTACACAAAGATGCCAGATAATTACATATTTTTGCAGAAAGAAAACCACTTACTAAAGAATAAAATTAAAAGAAAACGTATATAAACAAGCCAATATTTCTGAGACTTCATTCAATCGCTTTCGTTTCAAGATCACTCAAAACATATTACCAAGTAGCAATGCTCAAATTCAAGTAAGTCTGTTTAATATAGCGCATTAATTTGATCCGTAATGTTTTTTCTTTAAAATAGCAAGTGCCCCAAACGTCGGTTTGGTGGGTTGAAAAATCCCTGGAACCCCCGGTAAGTATATTTGAACATCACAGCATGTTTGTTATAATTTTTTTCAAACCTAGAGAGAAGAAGATCAATTGATATTAATCGGCGACAATCGATGGGTAAGGCACGTTGACTGGCAAAGGTACCTACAGGACAAAGCTAGTGGCGTAAAAGTAAAATAATGAAATTGTGTGTTTACAAATATTTAACTGATAATTTATAGAAACCGCAGGGAACCATAAGTCAGGCTGAACGGAGCAGCCCTTCTGCTGACGGGAGTAGTCAGCTTGATAAGGTGTCATCAAATCAAGTAAGTAAATTAGCGAAGCTTAACAGACATAAAACAACTATAAATATGAATATTTTTAAACAGAATCGAGACCCTACCATAGACTATTCTTGGGATGAAGACCCTCCAATGTTGAGTCAAACGTCGGTTAATACATTTCAGTGGGTAGAAAGATCCCTGGAACCCCCGGTAAGTATATTTGAACATTACAGCATGTTTGTTATAATTTTTTTCAAACCCAGAAAAAGGAAGATCAGTTAATATTGATCGGCGACAATCGATGGGTAAGGTATCCTGGACAAAGCTACTGGCGTAAAATAATGAAATTGTGTGTTTACAAATATTTAACTGATAATTTCTAGAAACAGCAGCCCTTCTGCTGACGGGAATAGTCAGCTTGACAAGATGTCATCAAATCAAGTAAGTAAATTAGTGAAGCTTAACAGACATAAAACAACTATAAATATGAATATTTTTAAACAGAATCAAGACCTTACCATAGACTACTCTTGGGATGAAGACCCTCCAATGTTGAGCTATAATCCACAAACTTATGTCTCAGCAAACAAAATTATCCGGTGCCCCCCGCCGAAATTGAGCAAAAAAGCCAGAAGAAAGTTTAGAAAAGAAGAAACAGAAAGATTTGCAAAATTGTAGTTTATAAGTATAATTTTTTAATAAAATAATAGTAACTTAATTTATTGTTTCATTGGGTTTTTATAAAAAATCAAAACATATTTTTCGAAGATCACAAAGCACAATTCTTGAGTGGATTTTAAAAAATACTGGTTTATCAGGGATTTTAATGAAGTTCGTTGTTTTTGTAACTCATAACTTTTCTCACCAAAAGTTCAAATAATGCGGTGTCATCAGATCAACTAG